ATCAATTATTTATTTAATATAATTCTATTTCTAGATAAGAAATTTTTTTTTATTTATGATTATTTGACATTATTATTCATTATTAAATTGATATATTTCCTTGGTTATTTTATTAATATTTTTATATAAATATAAAATTGTTATGAGTACCATATATTCAGGGCAAAAATGTAACACATACAACTTTTGGACTTTAGCTTTTGTATATAACAAACAATCTTATGCTTCGTTTGGTTGGATGGATGGAAAAATGGATGGAAAAGATAGGAGGAGGGGTGGATGAGATATCCTTAGGGAAGGAAGGGTGTCTTTCCCATTTTATGTTTGGTTGAATGGAATGGATAGTAAAAAGAATGAATGGAGTGATACTTTTTTCTTATTTGGTTGGAAGGAAGGAAAGGAGAGTTCTTATATTATTTTTACCAATATACCCTTTTATATAAAATTATAATAGGTAGATATTTATTTCGAAGATTTTGAAAATGTTAAAATTGTAAATTACCAGTACATAGGTAATTATGCCTTATTTCTCTCCTCTCTTCCCCCAAAAAATAGGCGGATAGAAAAACATAAAGGAAGGAGGAATGCTTCATCCCTCCTTGTTTCCTCCCTTTCTTCCCTTCCCTTTAACCAAACACAAAAATATTTATTCATCCCTCCTATCATCCATCCCCCCTCAATCCTTCCCTCCAACCAAACATAGCATAAATTCAGTACTTAAAAGTAAAATATCATCAAACGGGTTTTTAAATTAATACATTTAGCACTTAAAATTTCAGTGCTTAAAATTCAGTACTTAAGATTTTCAGTGCATAATTTTCATTTTTATCAAACAGCTAATAACACTGTCACTTAAAATTTTACTCTATTTTAAGCACACTTACCGTTTTAAGTAATATTCGAATTTCGTTATCAAACACACTTAATTATATAAGTGTTTAATACTCACATTGAGCTATCAAACAATAACTTATGCTTCGTTTTTTTTTTTTTCTTAGTTGGTACTCACACACGCATGCTTCCGCTGAGACTTGAATCAACAACCTCCCTTTGAGAAGTACGGATCTGATACCGCTAGGTCACTAACTCGTTGGTCATGCGTTGTTTGATTTGATAGAATTGGACGGAAAAACAAACGTTGTAATTTACTATTGCGTTTTTCTCTCATTTTGTTTAATTGGATTGAAGATGAGAATAAGCTCATAATTTACTGTATTCATCAGGAGGGAAAGAAAAAAAAAAAAAAAAAGTGCTTTAATTTATTGGAGAAGTAATTTATTGTATTTGTATAATGTAGGAAAGTAAAAAAACTTTTATAATAGTCCCACTTGTATTCTCATTTTATTTTTGCCGATATTTGAACAAATTAAAAATGGCAGAGGAATAAAGATATCCTTACTTTCCTTTCCTCATATCCTCTCCATCGAATAAAGTTTGTTCTTTCCTTTATATCCTTCCTCCACACTTCTACCTACTGAGCAAAACATTAGACTTCGCTTTGTTAAGATAGAATTAACTAGAAAAGAAAGGAAATAGAAAATTTTAAATAGAGTTTGCAATGCTGGAAAAGAAATTTTTAGACAAATATTACTTTTCAGAACCTCCTATCTTTCCCATAAATTTTTCTTGTAAAAAGTAGAGAAAAAGTATTATTTATTGAGAAAATTATTTGAACTTATAATTATTCCCCCCCCCCCCCCCCCCCCTAAATATTTTATATTTCCATAAAATGTCCTACAAATTTATTTATTTAAATTCCTATATTGCTATTATTTTTTAAAAAATACTTAGTCAATATAAATTTATTTAGACCTATTATCCGATATAAATATAAGGAAAATTTAAGTAAATGAAATTTTTTTTCTTGTAACTTTCATGTTGTCCAAATCATGAAATAGTATTTTTTTTTACAAATTTTCAAAAGAAAAATCATCCCTAACCTGATGAGTCTAAAAAATTAATTTTCATATCTTTCACTTCTGTCACTCTCTTTTTTTTTTTCCCAACTTTTTGCCGTTAATTTTCACAAATGCAAAGGACAAGAAAATTGAAGAATTAAATTGGTTTTAAATGGTCGTTAATTTGTATGCTTTACTTTATTATTATAATAATAAATACTCCTTAGTTGTTGGTCTTGGGTAAAATGGTCCTTTCGTTTCTTAGACAGAGAGAGTGAGTTTTGGAGAGGCTGCTTGCCCTGGTCTGGTAGCTGGAATGAGTGTGTGTTCATTCATGGTGTTCCATCTTTTATGGTTGCCAACTGATGATTCATTCTAAAGAATCCTTCCTGTGAGTCTCATCGAACTTCCTAATTTCCTGTTATCTTCAATATTTCATAGGTTGGATGTTTCTATGCGTTTCTCTGTTTTTAATTTAAGAAAAACTACGTATGTTACTAGTATTTTGATTTCAATTGAAATTAGGTTTTAGGGTTTCCAATGGAATCAATAAAAAAGGGTTGTAAAGAAATTCCCGAGGATGTGATTATCGAGATACTCTCAAGGCTGCCCGTGAAATCTGTGATTCGGGCCAGAGCCGTATGCAAAAATTGGTACATTTTCACCAAAAACCCTAGTTTTGTTACTAAGCACTTCAATCACCACACCAACAACAGTGGCTGTCTTTTTGTTACCCGTTTTGACAAAATTTCCAAGAGATTTGTTTTCTCATTATTCCCTGATGAAACACTCGCCGGTTCTCCCCCAGTGTACCGGGATGTGGTGGTGGATATGCTCCACCGTGTAGGGGTTGTTGCCAGTCCCTGTAACGGTTTGCTGTGTCTGTCCAATGATTTCAATCGCCTTGCTCTATGGAATCCGGCAACCAGAGAATTTAGGTCCCTCCCGGTACTCCCTCTGAACTTTCCACCTAATGTGGTGATTAATCAAGAAACTTTTGGATTTGGTTTGGATCCCATTACTAATGATTACAAGGTGGTTTGGATTTGGGAAACTGTGGAGGATTTTGATGAAGCACAGTCTTCTTATGGTCCATATCAGGTTGCTGTGTATTCCCTATCTACTGATTCCTGGAGATATCTTGATCATGTTGCTTTGCCTTATTCTATCATTGACACCCCTCTGTCTAATGCATGCATTAACGGAGTTTATCACTGGCTTGCAATACACGATGACGGTCATCCTGTGATCCTTTCATTTGACATGGGCAATGAATTGTTTCATGAGATACGCGATATTCCCAGTTCAAAACGTGCATTTCTTGCACCCTACAAGAACACACTTGCTCTGATTTATTATGATTCTAGGCCAGTTGTTGATATATGGGTGATGATGGAGGAAGGGGGTTGGACAAAAGTATCTACTGTTCAACTTCTTTCAGAATACAGATTTCCGCTTGGGTTTTGGAAGAACAATCAGCTTTTTATTATGAAAATTGATGGTGTTGGTCGCGTGGCCTTGTATGATCCAGAGACTCGTGAAATTAGGGATCTTGAATCCCCGATTTGGGACCACTACTTAATTTACAGGGAGAGCCTAGTCACAATTAGGGCCGGAGATGGGTTCCCAGAGCAGGATCAGCTGTCTGATATAGATCAAGTTTTAAACTTTTCATTTCAAGCTTGAACTTTGACCTTGCCATTCCAGTTGACGAGGATTTTGAAATTTCTGGTTTATATCTCATCTGTTTTGGTGAAAAGTAAGGAAACCAAATGCATAACTGAAGGGTAATGTCTTGCTATTATATCATTTTATTTATTGGTAATATAGTTGCATCTAAAATTATAGAACATTGGTGTCCGGATCAATGTTGTGGAGGTCTTTGAATTGGATTTACTCTATTTTGTCTATGAGTGGTTGAAATGGTGTTCATGCCCAGCAGTACCAAGTCCTTATTTTTCAAATGAAGGTCAAGGGTTCAAGCCTTAGTGGAGGATTATAAGGGTGTGTGAGTACCAACTAAGAAAGAAAAAAAATGGTGCTTTAATTTATGACACGGTAAAAAAAAAAAAAAAAAAAATTTGAATTACGACCTAGGAAGAATAAAGATGCAACTCCAGTAAATCAATCTCCTTCCTTTGTAGTAAACATTAGAATGGAAAACATCTCATTGATCCAAATCCGCAAAAGAATATTGATTCTTGTTGATGAAATGACAATTTGCAGGAAATTAAGATTATGACTCTTGTGGTGTTGAATTCAATTCAATAGGGAAGTGTAATGTAATAAAAGTATTTTTTTTTTCTAGTTGGTACTCACACACACATGCCTTCATTGAGGCTCGAACCTTTGACCTCTCTTTGAGAAGTAGGAGTTTGGTACCGCTAGGCCACTGACTTGTTGGTGTAATGTAATGTAATAAAGTAACCGTATCTAGATAGAAGAAGCAAGATTTCTAATTGCTTAATCCAACTACCAGTAGTTAAATGGCATCAGGTCCAAAATTTCGCTGTAAAAAAGTGGTTTTTAGTGTCTTCTCAGAGAAGGTTTCATTGTGACTGATACTTTGCTTTATCATAGGTATGGCACTCAGAACAGAACGAGAACAGCATTGACAAGGCGCTGAAACCCAACTGTTCATACCACTTGAAAAAGGTAATATTGAAGAAATTTGAGCATTCAACTTATTGTAATTGGTACCCAAGCTGGGGACAATCGATGCCAATATGACTAGGTAGCTGATCATTCTAAGCCATTGGTGGCCAAGTTGAAGAAGACTTGGACCCCAATCACCACATGAACTCTCTCTCAAATCGCTTCCAATATAGAGTCATATTAGCCAATTACATCTGATCTGAATAAATCCCCTCTCATCTCTTGTGAGACAGTTAATGAGCTTATTCACAATCAACCAGAACTCAATAGTCAATAATAAGCATTTTTCCTTGGAGAGTCCTTATGCGAATACAGCATCTGATACTTTTTTTTTTCTTTTTAAAAAAAAAAAATCCATGTATATCACTAGATCAGCATTACATCAAGGCAAGTCCTTGGGATGCGAGAATTCCATATTTATGTGTGTACAAGCTCTCCCAGGTAAGCATTTATTGATTTTACACTAACTTATCTACAAGCTACCTGAAACACAATAAAGTGCACACCCTTACCTTCCCAATCTAATTGCTCATTCCAATGTAAACCAAAGAGATACACCACCTCTAAATGCAACTATAGTCGTCACTCCTCTACACAGAATTTAATGCCCCTCTTATCTTCCATCACCTGTTTCTCCCTATATAAATCTCCATTGTCTTCAGAGAGCCAATCAACACCACCACAAACACTAAAACACACACACTCATCTTCATTCTTTTGCTTAGCTCTCATTGTTGAAGAATGTCTACCACAGTGGAGGATGTTTCTGCCAAGACTAAGATGGTGGAGATTGAGCCCAAGACTGGTGTTGTTTTGAAGACAAGGATACCAGAAGAGGTGAAGGTGTGTGGCACTGAAGCCAAGATCACCAATGGCGAGACAGAGAAGAAGATGAATTGCGAGAATGGAAAAGAACCAAATGGGGACATTGTCACACAGGAGGAGGCAAAGAAAGAAGAGATTCCAGTTGAGGTTGAACCCAAGACAGGGGTTTCTTTTCCGGTTAAGCTGGACGATGGGAAGCAGTTGAATGCTGTTGGTTTGAGGAAGAAAAGCATGCTTGGCCTGGGCATCAAAATTTATGGCTTCGGTATCATTCCGTTAAAACCTAGTCATTTCATTTTTATATGCTGTCTATGTTTACAAAAACTCAGTAGTATAATTTATGTCATTCTTCGATTGCAGGGATATATGCAGATAATGAGAAAATGAAAGATCTTCTGAGGTCGAAGTTTGGGAAAGCCCCAAGCAAAGCTACAAAGGAAATGTATCAAGCGGTAATTGACAGTGATGTTGGGATGATGGTTAAATTAGTAATTGTATTTTCTGGCCTTACTATGAACATGGTAAGAAAGAACTTTGATGAAGGTCTTGGAGCAGCCATCAAGAAACTCACTGGTGGAAAGAATGAGGAGCTCACTAAGAGGTATCACTGGTGGTCCTTTCTTTTATGTCACTATGAGTCTTATGTCTACATGCTTCCACTTGCCTACTAGTTAAATTCTTCCTTTGACACCTTTCGTCTTTCTGTCGATGAAGGATCATGGGTGAGGCATCGGATGACATAAAACTGGCATCTGGTTCTGTAATTGAGATTTCTCAGGAAGCCGGATACATTCTCCAAACAAAAGGTAAAGGCCCAAAAGTGAGAATTTACATGTTATGCATTTGGCCAGTATTGAATTTATCCAAAAAAATGTTGTTGTTTGTGTGTGCAGTTATGGGTGAGGTGGTGAGCAAGGTTGAAAGTGAACTACTGTGCAGGGCCTATATCTACATGTATTTGGGAGAGGACCCTTTTGACAAGGAAGCCAAAGAGAAATATGGGATGTCCATGCTCTCTCTCTTCTAAACACACACACAGCTTCTAGCTAGCAGTTTCTTGGTTAATTTGCAAGGAATAAGGCCCATTGTTTACCTTTGTAGTGGCTAAACAATTTCTTAATAAGAAGGATGATGAGAGAGTGGTTAAATTTCATTACAAAATACCAAGTGTTATCAATCCAACTAATATGTGTTTTGTGGATCTTGCACATGCATATCTGTGTATGTGTGTAGTTGACTAGTTATGTATGACATACACAAATGCTAAATTCCTCAAACATTTATAACAAAAAGGGAAATTATATTTTTGACAGGTGGTCGATTTTTCTATCATGGTTCTAACGAAAAAATTTCGCTGCTCACAAAAAGCAACTCCTCTCTTTGTTCATTAATTCAAGAAACAAAACAACCTGCCCAACATATCAATTTATGTTGAATGAGATGGTGTTCAGACAAACTGACGAATATTTTAAGATGATTTGGCAAATAGAATCAAGAGGAGTGATTAATTACTTAGAATATTATAACCAGAATACTGGGAAATTACAAAGTGAATCCAAAACATTTACTTTTCAATACTCAAATAAAAAATATAAATATTAAATTGGCAATTTAATTAATTTTTTTCCCTGGCGTTGATAGAAATTGCTAATTTGCATATCTATGATGCTCTCTATAATATAAATACGGAGACGTTCGCACTCCACTTTTCTATAATTATATTACATTCTTAAAGAAAATGACACTTTTATCCTTAATTTTATAAATAAATAATTATTTTTTCTCAAGTACCACAATTACCCTTTCAGTAATTTGAATTTTTTTTCCCTTCATGTGATTTTTAAGAATTAATTTGGAATGTCTTTAAATCTTAAAGTTTTTTTTTGTTGATGAGAAAAGTCTGTTTTTATAATAAAATTTCAAAAATATGTATTTTGTGAAGAAAAAAAATGAAAAGAAAAAAAGATGGGTATTATATACAATTATGTTTATTTTTTTGACGTGTTTTGATGTTTGAGCTTTTATAACTCTAATCAAGTCTTTGTATCCTTTTTTTTTTTTTTTTTTTCAATTTCTACTTCTTTTAAATTCAATTGAAACATTGTTCTAAATTTAACTCTGTCAAAACCTACAGCCATAAAACTCACCTTCCAAATATCTTCTCTTTTTATTTAATTTTTTATTTTTTATTCTTTTTTTCTTGGGGGTATAATTTTTATTTTTTGTAAAGATTAACAGTATATAATATTAATTGAAGACATAGAAAAAGAAAAAGAAAAAAAAAAAAAATTACTGCAACAGAGTTCTTCAAGAAAGGTATTTTATAAATGAATTAGGATCCTCCAAATTAAAACTTCTCTACATTATCCTAAGTTGAATCTTAGAAACTTTGACATGTAAAGAGAAATAATGATATAGAAAGAAAAAGGGTGAAGAAAATGAGGATGAAATAAAAGTTTTATCTAAAATTAGTTACTGCATTTAATATGCCATTAAGATATATGAGGACAATTGGTTTCCTAAGTTAAACTATCATTTTTTTGAATAATAAAATAAGGGATAATGCATTAATTAGTTTAGAGAATTTTTTTTTTTTTTAAATAAAAAAGAAAAATAAAGTGCAAATATAGAGAGAAGTTGAGTGTAAATATGTCTCCCATATATATATAAACAATACTTAGGATCTAAATCATCCTCACTTGATGTGAACCAATAATATCATCTTTAATTACCAAATTCAATATAATGGGAGGAGATACCCATTTACAAAATCATAATTGATATGATTTGATAATTAAAATAAAATATATTTATTTATTATTAGTCCACATTAATCATCAATATATTATAAATAGTAATGACCTTAATATATATACATTCTTATATGGGTACATATCCCTCCGCAATTTACTTTATGTTTTGAAGGTAGTTCTTTTTATTGACGTGAGCCCCACCCTAATGCATGCACACGATGATCCAAAACATTTAGGGTAAAATATACTAACACCCCCTGAAGTTTGGCATAAGGACAGGTAGATGCAAGTTGCTCTGTTTTTGGACAATCACACCCCTCAAGTTTGATAAAATAGACAAAGACACCCCGGCAATAGTGAATTGACTTTATTACCCTTTGATATAAAATTAACAAATACAATTGACTTAAATACCCTTAAATTGAATAAGTTCAAATGGGTTATCGGGTACAACCCATCGGATAAACCCAAATTTTCTCTATCCTTACCCTATTTTTCTCTTTCCCTTCTCAGACCCTAAAGCTTCTTCTCCATCTCTCTCTCTGTGGTGTTATATATATATATCACCACCACAAATGAGCCCCACTGCATATACCGCCGCCGCATCATCATCATCCCTCAACCACCGCATCATCATCAGCATCATCAATTCATCACGGTGATGAACAAGGTAGACAGAACTGTCGGAAATTGTAATACCCCTAATTTTAAAAGAATAGTCTCGGCATTTATTTATTATTTTTATTGTATTTTTGCATGATTATTTGGTTTAATTATTTTATTTAATTGTTTACCTATGTGTCATGTGTTTTAAATTGATTTAAGTTATTTGTTTTGTTCTTTAATTGGCGTTTATTGTTTCAGTGTTTTTAGTTATTTAATTGGGTAATTTAATTGGAAATAATTAGTTAAGTGGATTTAATTATTTAATTATATTTTTTTTCATTTAATTCTGTTTTAAGTTACAATTAAATTTAGGGTTGCAATTACATAGGTGGCCGACGTAGGTATTTATCTTAGATCGGTTTATGGGCCGAGATGGGCTTTGGCTTAAGGTTACATGGATTAGGGTTTAATCACTAAGCCTATAAGTATGTGTGTCACGGTGGTTTAGGGTTTGAGAATAATTAACCGGAATTTCTGTATAAACAACAGAGACCGTGAGATACAGAGAGAGGGAAACAGAGAGCAGTTGTGGGGAAAACAGAGTGAGGCTTAAGAGGAAGTGTACAGAGAGGACCAAGGAGGTATTAGGAGGCTAGACAGTGTTGCAGTGGTTACCGGACGTTGGGAAGACGGCGACAAGTTTTGAGTCCAAAACTTCAGGCAAGTTCTTTTCTTCCTCCTTCCCGTTGGCCTGTGTTCTGTGCACCTAGATATACTCTAAGGTTCTAATGGATCAATAATTGAATTAAGCATGTTTTTATATGTCAATTTAACCTTATCTTTGCCTTGAATAAATTCGGTGATGGTTCTGTAACGTTCATTATAGTAGTTGTTTTCTTAAGCGTGATTTGTCTGTGGAACTTGTAGTTTTTGTTTTTGATTTCAATTGTTGTAAACACTCTATGGGGATTATACTGGACATAGTTAGGACCCTTGGGAATAGTCTAAAACTAAATAAAATGGATGGGAAGCGACCGGCGTTGAAGAAGAAGGTCGCAGAAGTCACAGAGGGACAGACGGCTCTCAGAGAGGGAGAGAGCCGGCTCCATGGAGGAGGGAGCCGGCTCCCCCCTAGTGTAGAGCCGGCTCTACCCAAGTAGAGCAGGCTCCAATAAAAAATTGGAGCCGGCTCCCCATTTGTTCATAACCTGTTCTCGCTCAGTTTGCTTCCGGAAGGTGTTTAATGCACTGTTTGAAGCCGTTGTGTGTTTGAACTTAAAAAAAAAAAATATTGGGACTTGCCATAGTGATTAAGAAGTTAATTTTGGGTCTAAATAGAACTTTTAATTGATTAAAGTTTACCTCTAAGTTAACGGAACAAACTGTATAAAATTTATGCACATTGTACACGATTAAGGAATGGAAGAAGACTTAATTGCTCAAGCTTATTTTTGAGCATTCCAGTGGGATCTAATATGTTTATAAATTGTTCTAAATACATTATAGGGTCATTGATGTATTGAAGTTGACCTATGCATGCTTTGGAGGCTAATTGTTGAAATAGTAAATACTTTCTGCAATGATATGGATTATCGTTTGGATTTTTAATTGCTAGAACATCAAATATCTTCCTGCAATTATTTGGATAATGTTTTGGAATGTAATTTACTAAATTATGATTTCTATATTGTAATTGGCATTGATATGGAGGGTTATATGCACCGGTATGGGACGGTGGCATACTAGGGATGGTTTAGCTTCAAAACGCTAAGACCTAACCTAATGGATTAATGGAATGGATTGAAAGATATCGAATCCTAATTGTGGCTAAGTCAGATCAACTGTAACCAAGTTGGATGACTTCCTGGATTAACGGATGGTAGTTACGTCATATCAACTGAATAAGTTGAGTGACCAACTCGTTGGTTTATTGTAGGTCAGTTTAATAAATAGTTGAACTGCTTACCCTGGATTTGGACGGATTTTATATATATGTTTATGGTACCACGAGTTGAACTTGAGTCTCAGATTTGTTGGTTAGGGTGCGTATATGCAGTGGATGCGTAGCTGGTTATAATAGGTTGAGGTGTACCCTGTTAGGTCTAGGTACTCATGCCCACCTTTAGGTGCGTATTCGCATGTTGCCTTCTATGCAGGTTGAGACCCCTATTATAGACTAGTGAATGTCCCTTAGTGTGGATATATTTATACGTATGGACTAGATAGATATTGTGAGGTGTCTACGGTGTATCTGCGTATCGGGTCACTGTATGGATTGCAGTTAGATTAGAACTTGCTCGTGGGTCTGACCCACTCCTTTATTATTCTTTTCAGGTACAGGACGGTTCCAGCCTTAGAGCTTGATCGTGCTTGTCGAGGACAGTCTCACCTTTATCTGATTATGTAGGACTTCTCCCGATATTTCTAGCATTATCTATTTTCAGTTTTCAGTTTCTGTTGAACTTTTGGTTAGGGGTCCATCAGTGGATTCCCAAGTTGTAACCTTGAAGTTTTAGAGGATTAGAGTTTCAATTTTCAGTTATAAATGGAGGGTTTTATAATTAATGTTTCTTTCAGTTATTATTCCATCTTTATTATTTCATTTTGTCATCTGTGTTCGCTTTAAAATACTTTAATTGTTTGATATTCCCTCGGGTTTGGGCCTGGGCCTGATCAACCCGTGTCTCAGATCCGAGGGGTATCACAGAAATGGACCGGCATTAGAGGGGTTGATTGTGAGAAATTCGTGCTGCCGCCGGAGGAGCATAAGAAAGGTAATCCCACTATCTCCGCAAACCCCCTCCAAAACCCTCTATTTAAACCCTCGTCAGCCTTCCGACCCCTCCAATGCCGTCGGTGATGACGTTAAGGCCGAGGAGAAGATTGAGGCGGCGATGACGAAGGCGAGAGAGAATTCCGGCGAGAAAATTGGGTTTTGATTTGAGATGTAGAGCGTATCGTGTAGGGTTTCGATTGGAGAAGAAAATGGGTCAACAATTTCACTGCGTTCTACTGTGTTGGAGACGAAGATGGAGATTCAATCCAATTGGAGAAGAGATTCATTTTGATTACATAGATTCGTGTTGTATTTTGTGTTGTAGATTTGCTGGTAGAAAGATAGAGACAGTAGTGGTAGGGGTTGGGTGGGTTGGTCTCATCGAGGTGTCACGATGGTGGGTTATGGCAAGGTGTTGGTGGTGGTGCAATGGGTGGCGGGAGGTGGTGGGGGTTGTTTGGGTGGTCTGATTGATGAATGGATTTAGTAATTTTAATGCTGTAAGTCTTAGATTAATTGTGTTGGATTGAGGTGCATATCTATCTTTTCTATTTCCTCCGGCAAGCCACCTCTACCATCTTCTCCGGCATAATGGACCACACATGATGTCGGCAAAGACAAAAACTATTCCACCGCTGATGAGAGGTTAGAGAAACAAAGGGGTCACCGTCTGCATTGGATTCACAGAAAGCGGTGGCAACGAGGGTCACCAGACGGAGCACTGATAGAAGTGGGACGCGACGGTGTTGATCGGTGGTGGCTTTGGCCGCTGAGTGTAAACACACACACACACACACACACACACACACACACACATATATATACAGATGTAATTAGTGTATAAGGATATAAGAGTCTTTTAAAAGTTTTGATATTTTATAATTTAAATTAATAAAATATTAAAGGGCATTCTTGACTTTTTACAAAATTTAAGGGGCTGTTTGGATCAAAATTTTGACTAGGGGGTGTGATTGTCCAAAAACAAAGCAACTTATATCTACCTATTCTTATGCCAAACCTGAAGGGATGTTAGTGTACTTTACCTAAACATTTATTTGCATGAGTTGTGCACAAATCCCTCAATTTAATTTAAATTTTTACTAAATGTCTCAACACTGACTGGTGAGCCCCACAAGACCACAGTCGTGCGCCCTACCACCCTCGAAATTTATAAAATCTGCATCATTGGTGACCATGCTCATAATACTCCTTTTTGTAATACTTTAGAGAAATAAATGTCTTTTTATTTAATTAATTATTTGACATTGATAAATTAAAAATATTTTTATTGGTAGTAAGTTCTTTTAATGTTTCTTCCATTTAATTAAACTTTTAAATTAACATTAATGAATTAAAATATTCTGTTTTATTTGACATTTTTTTTAGATAGCAAGTTTTTTTTTTTTTTTTTTTTTTTTTTTTTCAATATATGTCACTTTATTTGTTTAATGCATTGTCCTCATAAATGTTCCAATCCTTGTGCAGGGGATCGTGTGGTCCTTTTGAGGCACAAGCTCACAACATTAATTATATATAATATTAAATAATATCATTCATGCACCAACGGAGGTCTGCAACACTTTTAAATTGAATAAGAAACACTTAAAAACAAAAATAAAAATAAAATGCAAGACCTTAATCAACAACCCTGGCTTGAAAATCTTATTAGAAAGAAAATAATATTCTATTTTAAATAGGGTATGAGTTGTTTCTTAAATCATATATAATGTCTTTTTTTATTATTATTATTTTTCACACGACAAGAAAGGAGAAGAATGAAATAGATCGAACTTGGGTTCCACACGGTTCAGGAAATACTTTTGCAAACTGGAGTACCAACTCACCCCATATAACGTTATTTAATTATATATAGAATATTATGTGCACTTTGTAAATGTTATATAAAATTATGTAATATTAATGTTATATAATGATATCATATAATTTGATGCTATTTAATATTATATATAATTTCTATTGTGGGGCCATGCCTTTCCAACAGGATGGGATCCGGATCCCTTTTGAAACACCTATAAATAGGTGGTATTGCATCAACACAATTACACCTCACTATTTTTGCAAGTAATACTTATAAGTTTTGGTGAAAGAGCTAAAGATCGAACAAGCATGAACAAGTCAATGTCCTTTCCCCGGCTAGTTTTGTTGGCTCTGCTGTTAAGTTTACTCGCTCCCTCTCAAGCTCAAGGTAACATATTTTCAAACCTTCATCTTTAATATCTCTCTCTCACACACACTTAAAAGCTTCTTTTTTTTTTTTTTTCTAATCAAACAAAAAATAATAATAAATACATTATTTCGTCTTTAAGTATATTGTCTCATTCATTCATTATACTTTCCTTTCCATTCAATTTTTTTTCTTCATTTACCGATTAGTGTGTTTGTTTGATAACAATATTAAGAGGGCATAGCTTACCCATTTACCTATATATATATATATATATTAAGAGGGCGTGAAATAATTAATTTTTCTATATTCACAAAGATGCTATTAATTAAATTTATTGGATTTTATTTTATTTTATTTTTTTATTATACTTTCAGGAGGATTAAAATATTGTCGCGCTCATTACAAGTTGGAAGAACCGTGTGCGGCCTATGCCGCCGATCCCAATAATTGCCTGGAAAGAATGTCGGGACATCTTGGATTGGGTAGTATGCCAAAGAATTGCGTATGTCAAGATACTGGTTCACCAAAAGTGGCCCTATGCTCATGCGACGTAGTATGCAAGAAATAATACACCAGCAGCAGCAGAGAAGCACTACTAATTAATTAATAATCACTTCTCGCTAGTTGGTGCTTTATATAATTAGCCATGTAATGCTGCTACAAAATAAAGCATTTTATGAAATTTAATAATTTTATCATTCATGTTGGGTTTGTTGTTGATCCATATAATGTGAAAGCATTTGATTTTTTTAATAATTTTGTTTCATATATATATATATATATAAATAATACGCACGTTATTGGCTTAAGCTAAAATTTATATAAGTTGTGGGTTGTGCTATTCGCACTCCACAAAAATGTACTTTGGCACTCCATTTATATTTTTATGTTTTTGAACTTGACACTTAACTGACTTCAAAGCTAAACGATAAAAGATCTTTAAAATCTCTATTCCATCATGTTTTTCTTAATTCGTTTTTACTTATAAAAATAAAATTAAAGTTTCTTAATGTGTTTAAAAATGATCATATTTTTCTTTGTGTTCAAAAATGCCGTCAATATTATTGGGGCTGATATCTATAGAAATGCCGAATATTGACTTCGCATTACTTGATCTCTCTCACTCCATGGCCAGGAACAGGCAGGAATTTGATTATGGGGGCGCATTACAAATGATAAAAGAATTTTTTTAGTAAAAGAAAAATATGAAAAAACTTTTAAAGAAAAAAAAATTTTGATTTGTTTGAAGAGAGGAAATGCAATTTTCTTTCAAGAAAATTTTTAAAAAGAAGAAGAAGAGTAAGAATGGAAAAAATAAAGAATTAGAAAGATTTTTTTGGAAAAAATAATAATTTTAGGGGGTCATTTCGTATAATATAATAAATTATGTCTAAAATGTAAAAAAAAATTAATAGGGTAGAATGCCTAGGGGGCAGCTTTGAAAAAATAAAATTCATGGGGGGCATTTTGTAAAATTTAAATAATTAGATGCATAAAATTTTAAAAATCAATTAATGGACCAGCATGGGCTTAGATTTTTTCTGCATAAAATTTGTTGTTAACATCATGTAACCAAAATGAATGTCACTAAAATGAAACTCGAATATCTCCACAAAACAACGTATATCACAAAATTTAGATTTTTTTATAAGAACTTTGAGAGACGTTGAATCTATTGAAGTTAAATTAAAAATGGAGCTCCACAACGAAAGAAAAACTCAACCCCTTAACCTACATATGTTAATTCAATTGAAAATTAAAATATACAGTAATGCATGATATAGTTTTGGGTAAAGTGTAGAAAACTTTTATGTAGTATAGGTTTTGTGCATAATGCTCCTGCCTTCTTTTTCAGACGTGAGCATTCTTGGTCCTTTTTTTCTTAAAAAAAAAATAATAATAAAGAAGTGCAAATAACCCCTAAACAATTTTTAGCAAAAAATAAATATGAAAACTTAATTTTGTCCTTTTTTTCCCATTTCCTCCCCCACCACCACACACCCCCCCCCCCCCCCCCCCCCCCAATGTGTATTAAAACCCCCTTCTCAATTCTTTCCTTTATTTCTCTATTCATTTTTCGCCTGAAAACCTACAAAACAACAAAGTAATATATTATTTTACTCAACAACTTCATTAATATATTATTTTATCCAACAACTTTTTTTTTTTTTTTTTATTGAGTTTCAAAGAATTAGAGTCCTCCAACAACTTTATCATTAATAAAGTTTTAAACTTTTTATCATATATGAATAGCGGTAATTGGAATTCGGGAAGGTCTAAATTAATTAAAAGCTTTATCATCTTTTTAATATATTTTATTATTAATTCTTTATTATTTTTATAAAATAAGGGTAATTTAGGTATCCAAATTATAATATGATATTTTTTTTTTATAATTTTATTGAATAAATTTTCACCCTAATCAAATACATATTAAAAAATCAATTTTCTTTTAATTTTTTATTTTCTTTTATTTTTCTTGCTATTTCCATCTTACTAGCCTTGGGATATTATTTTTTGCAAATCTCTGCTTGTAGATCTCATTGCAATTTTTGGACTTCAAAAGGCGAAATAAATCAATTGCAGATGGCTACCAATTGCCACACCTCCGTACTTTGTCATATGTGACCATTGCATTTAAGATTTTCTCTCGTTTGCATATATCTCATCATCACTTGATCGAGACTGTCATCTTGACTATAAGTGGTGTTAATTAGGTTTGGTTGATTATGTGACTGTTGGTATTAAATGTGTTTTTGGTTTTATGTGTATAGTTGATGTTCTTGCCTGTAAATGATGCATGGCATTTGGTTTGTTGGAAAAAAATAATAATAATAATAATAATAATAAATTAATGTGTCAAGAATCATCCACATCAGCACAAATGGAACCAGCCATGTCACCAAATTTTGATGGACCCGTATGCTGACATGGATGACCCCACCGCAAACCTCTTTGTCGAAGCCCATGTGGGTTATAATGACACAAAAAAAAAAGTACGGAGTAAAAGATTGGTCGGCCAGTGTGAGTAAAGAGTTGTGATTTGGAGCGTTCTATATGAAAAAGAGGGAACTTATTGCGAATTTATTTGAAGCATGCAATAATGGCAAATCCTTCACCCAATTGCATTCTGAAATCGTCAAAACTGGCCTCATCCGCGACACTTTCATTGCCACCAAACTTAACGAGGTTTACTGCAAGTACACACCTCTCAGTAGTGCACGCAAATTGTTCGATGAAACGCCTCACCGGACTGTACATATCTGGAACTCCATACTCAAGAGCTATTATAGACAAAAGCAGTATGCAGAAACTATGATTCTCTTTTCTCATATGGTATCTTCTGAAAAGCCCGACAATTTTACTATACCGATTGCTGTCAAGGCATGTGCCGGGTTAAGAGCGGTCGAGTTTGGCAAAATGATTCATGCGTTTGTCAAGAAGAATTACATGATTGATTCAAACATGTTTGTTGGGTCGGCTCTGATTGAATTGTATACCAAATGTGAACTGATGGATGATGCTTTGCGTGTTTTTGAAGATTTTGAGTTTTCTAGGCCGGACACTGTTTTGTGCACGACAATGGTTAGTGGGTATGAGCAGAATGGTGATCCTGAAGAAGCGCTTGCATTTTTCACCCGAATGGTGATGGTTGAGCGCCTTAGTCCTGACCCAGTAACACTTGTCAGTGTTGTTTCCGCTTGCACCCAACTATTGGATAGAAAGGCTGGAAGTAGCGTCCATGGATTTTCGATTAGGAGGGGGTTTGATACTGGTTTGTCTTTGGTTAATGCTTTGTTAAATTTTTATGCAAAGACGGGTTCTGTTAATGCTGCAGCTAATTTATTTAAGAAAATGGGAAGAAAAGATGTGATTTCGTGGAGTTCTATGATTGCTTGTTATGCTCATAATGGGGCTGCTCCTGAAGCATTAGAAATTTTCAAGGAGATGATTGATTTAGGATTTGAACCCAATTCAGTTACAACAATTAATGTACTACGAGCATGTGAGTTGACTTGTAACTTAGAAGAAGGTAAGAAGATCCATGAACTTGCCGCTCAGAAAGGGTTTGAGATGGATGTCCTGGTTTCTACAGCTTTAATTGAAATGTACATGAAGTGCTCTTCCCCTAAAGAAGCCGTTGATCTCTTCGAACAGATGCCCAGGAAAGATGTGGTTTCTTGGATTTCTTTGTTAGGTGGATATGTTCAAAACGGAATGGCATACATGGCAATGGGATTATTCCGGGAAATGCTATCCAATGAAATTCAACCCGACTCTATTGCTATGGCAAAGATTCTCACCGCTTGTTCAGAATTAGGAATTCTCCAACAAGCTTTTTGCCTTCACGGTTATGTGGTTACGTGTGGCTTCAACAACAATAATGCCTTCATCAGGGCTTCGCTCATAGAATTATACTCTAAATGCGGTAGCTTAGGTGACGCTGTCAAGGTTTTTGAAGGAACATCTGATAGAGATATTGTCATTTGGAGCTCAATGATTGCAGGTTATGGAATTCATGGTAGAGGAGAGGAAGCACTGCAATTGTTTGATCGCATGGTTAATATTTCAGCAGTTAGGCCTAACAACGTTACATTCCTTTCTGTTTTATCTGCTTGCAGCCATGCAGGTTTGGTTAGAGAAGGGATTGAGTTGTTTGACATGATGGTGCATGAATATCAACTGAATCCTGATTCAAAGCATTATGGGATTATGGTTGATCTGCTAGGCCGCACTGGAGAGTTGGATAAAGCCATGAGCATTATTGACCAGATGCCAGTACCAGCTGGCCCCCATGTTTGGGGAGCTCTGCTTGGCGCGTGTAGGATTTACCAGAACATCAAGATGGGAGAGCTAGCGGCAAGTAATCTTTTTCAGTTACATCCTAATCATGCAGGATATTACATTCTGTTATCAAACATTTATGCTGTTGACGGAAAATGGGATGATGCAGCAAAAATAAGAACTTTAATTAAAGGGAAAAGGTTGAAGAAGATCTTTGGGCAAAGTGTGGTAGAGGTTAAAAGTGAAGTCCATAGTTTCGTGGCTAGTGATAGAATTCACCCAGACTCTGAACAAATTTATGGGTTGTTGAGAAATTTGGAGGTGAAAATGAGGGAGGAGGGTTATGTTCCTGATGCGAATTTTCTGCTGCACGAGACGGATGCAATTGCATAGTTTGGAAGTATGGATGTGAGGAACCATCCAATTTATGTGGGGGTTTCCAAATCTATCCTCAAGGATTTGAACTGATTGATGGACATCTGACCCTCTTGTCAGATCAGAACCAGTAAACTCAATTTCTATTCAAACATGGGTTTGATTTACAATACATTTTTCTGAGAAGACAAAACTAGAAGCTCTCATTAAATTCACATCTCATTTATTGGTCAAAGGTGAACTGAAAGCTAAGCACTGGTTATTCTAAAGATTCCCCATGGGAAAATTGAGTTGATCAGATTCTGGTCGAAGAAATTTTGTGTGAATTTGGCATATATGAAGTCAGCTTTTTTAATGACTTTGAAGATCATCTAAGCCAAAGGAAAGATACTCCAGAAAGTAGAGAAACCTTCACTAAAGGCAACCATTGGAGGATTTTTTACTACAAAAGTCTGCTGGGGCACCCTTGGGTTTCTCTTGACCATGGTGGTCTATATGTGGAGATTGCATACCTATCACTTTGAAATCAACATGCTCGGCCAGTTGATAATGTGGAAAGGCAATACAATGAAAATTCATTAATTTGGACGTTAGAAATAATACATTAACTGATATTAGTTGGATATTTTATGGATTGGGAAACACAGTTTGCATATGATGTTACGCAGAGAGCCCACTTCCAACTTCAGCAGCACCAGATTGAGAAGGACAAAAAAGGTCCTTCGAAGATCATTGACGTTTCTTAGAGAGCCCATTCTGGTTGCAGAAGTGCTCTGTAGATTATGGATAGCTGAATTAATTGCCAATATGTAAATCCAGGTAAAATCCCTTTCTCCTTTGCTCTTGTGCTGTCACGTGCAAGATTTATTTGGTTTTGGTGCTTACCTCGTCATCTGATCGTATCATGCAGATTCATTCTGTTAAAAAAATTTATGTCATATGGTCATTCCTTGAGATAAATTTGATTTCAAATTCTAGGGCTTGTTGCTATTGACTGAGCCATCACCTTGAAAGTAGTTGCGCCTTCATTGAAAAAATGCTCTTTTATGGAGATTATTATGCCAGTCAATCCTCACATGGTGATAAAAGAAGATTACAGCTTTAGTGGTTTACATGCTTAAATTAGACGGTACTGGGGCATGGATGTTAGATCCAGAAGGCCAGTCCTTGACAAACTTCTAATCTCCAAAATTTTGAAATCAGCAGATCTTGTATGTCATTGTTAAACCAGATGGTCTTTTGTTACATCTATCTTATAATCATGGTTTTAGAAATCTTATGTAATACATAATAAATAGAAGATAACAGCTTTGTTTGCTTGATGTCTAACTATCAATATTGGAGAATAGATTATATGGCTGTTGAGTATGTACTTGTAGCTCTGTTTCCTCCTATACTCTCTCTTAAAAGAGTCGTTATTTAGGGTTCATCTATTTAGACTGCAACAAGTGCCCACTTGGGTTCTCCAATCAATTTATTCTTCTTTCCACCAATTTCCTTAGCAAACTAATTGTGCCCACTTTTATTTCGTTTGCAAGTATTGAATTGTCGCATGGGATTTGGAAGTGAAGAAGAATTTAGTTTAAAATTTGAACTATTTTCCCTCCAATTTAATGCTACCAAACAGAACTTTTTATATATTTCTTATATTGCTGTCACAATTTGCACATATATGTGTAAATGAATGATTCCCACTTGAGACATGAAAAGGGTTATGTAAGGGTATGTGGCTATGATGACCTAGGGTATTTGGCAACATCCACCCATTGGTTTTCATAAGTTGAATTTTGATGCTTCCTATATTGCTCAATCTGGAGAAGCTGCAGGAGGATTTGTTTTGCAAAATTCAGAGGGGTGCATCGTCAAAGTTGACATCTGTTCATTACCAAACATGACTTCTGCTCTTATCGCTGAAGCTACAACAGCTAGGAAGGCTATTAAATGCAGTTTGGAGTGGGGTTCTACTAAATTGATTATCGAAGGTGACTGTAAAGTTATATTTGAATCTAAGAGTCTTCCAATCTGTATTGCTGCTATTTGGGAAGATATCAACCTTAATGCTTATTGGGTTTGTAGGAAAGCTAATTCACTAGCTCACTTATTGAGTCATCAAGGAAAATGGTGTTAAAATATTTATGATAATGTTTCTGGAGTGATTCTGGAAGCACCTTTGATGAATTGTAATCATGTGTAATTTTTCTCATCAAAGAAATTTTCTTTCTTGCCTTGAGTTAGCTACTAAGCCTACTACTACTATCAAGGCTATAAAATAAAATTTTCAATTATACTCGTTCGACAAAGAACAATAATATGGTATACAAATTAAATGAACATTTATTAAAGTGTATTATATTGTGAAACGATGTTAAATAAAAAGTGCAGAGTACTGTACAAGACGCAACACTTGACCAGCATTTGTGTCAACTCGACAAATGTGTGTCGATAGCTGAACGTGTAAGAAAAAAAAGCACAAAATCAAGGATTAATTTGTGCTAGAATTTTTTTTGAGTTATATATAATTCAAGAGTCACATACATTCAATTAAATTTATGTAAGTAAGTGATGATATCATGACGTCATCATATTTAATGACATTACGAAAATGTCATTCTACTCATATAAAATAATCAAATACATCTTATTATTATTATTTTTTTTAAAAAAAAAAAAAGGTCCTAAGTTTGTTTGGTGTTAATTTTGTTTTTTCTTTCTGATAAAGAACAAGAAAAAAGAAATGTCAATTAAAAGATAATTGTTAATCAAATAAAAAATTTATAAGTAGTTATTTCTCTTTTTTTCCCTTTTAATTTTTATTTAAGACACAGTTATATATTGATTATATTCCATCAATTTAAAAACATAAATGGTTAAATTAAGAATATGAGTTTGACTACCAAGGTCACCCCTCTGTATTGTCAATTCAAATAGATATTTTGTGTTTTTTTTTACCATTCTCCACCTTCTCCACCCATATATACAAGGAAAAAAAGATTTTTATACCTTATCTAACAAGAAGTTATCATATCAACCAGCACTCTAAAATAGCAGCGTAAAATCCCACTTCCTTAATTACAAAGAAATAATTAACCCTGTAAATAAGGAAACAAAAGTGCTACAGGTTGCACTTTTTTTTCCGTCTTCAATCTCCACGTTTCAACAAGTTCGACATGAGACCTACTCTAACATATATATATATATAAGGTTAAAAATAGTAAAATACGCACAAAATACTTGTTTACAAAAATACAATGAGAAAATACTTGTTTGTAGACATACTAATTTAATTTGCTTTTCTTGTTTTATTTTTTATTTTTTTTGAAAAATCGGCATAAAAATACAAAAACGAAAAATATGAATGTGAATATGTTGGAATATGATATATATATATATATATATATATATATATATATATATATATATAATATTAGTCATTAAAGATTGGACAATACATATACTATTTTTCCCAATTACTAGAAATAATTAACCCTGTAAATAGTAGATTGGAGAAGATTCAAAAAAAAATTAGAATATGTTAATATGTATATATTTAGTTGACTTGTAAGAGGCTGCAGGGGTGACTGAGTAAAACCAGTTCAAAGCTAAAGAAAAAATAAAAATGCATATTAATATGAATTTAGATAGTTTATGAGCTGTAGTTGTAACCCAATCATTTGAGTACTGATGGTGAATGCAGGTTAATATGGATTTAAAAAGTTTATGAAGAACAGTTGTGACCTGATGTTAAGATTTTTGGTCAAGACAGGCTGCGCCGTATAACAGTCGGCCGTAGATATTCACTAATTTGGTGATCCTTCATATATATATATATATATATATACAGGGGAGGTTGGCTACTAACGTTAGACCACGAGGTTACTGCAATAGCAGTCATGTTAATTTGCAAATCTAAAGCAAATTTTGGTGGGTACATAATATCTACGTAGGTAATTGTCTTATATCTGATTACTTAGATATTCCGGTTCTCTGTATATTGCGTTATACCGTCAATACACTTTGATGATGATAAATCAAATGGGTGCTAATAGTCTGATTACTTCGGCACTCTGATTCTCTGTATATTGGGTTACGCCGGTATATTTAGATATTTACATAAATACTTGTTTTTTGTGTGGATTACTCCGACACTCCGTCGGATTCTATGTATGTTATGTTAGGCCAACAATAAACTTTGATGATAAATCATAAAAGATTATTGTTATTCAAATAGAAATTTTACAAGTAGTTATTTCTTCTTCTTTTTTCCCTTTTAATTTTTATTTAAGACACAGTTATGTATTCCATCAATTTAAAAACATAAATAGTTAAATTAAGAATATGGTAATTAACAGTCTGTCACCAGGTTCCCACCTCCAACTTCAGCAGCACCTGATTGAGAAGGAAAAAAAAAAAAACAAAGAGCCCATTCTGGTTGCAGGAGTGCTCTGTAGATTATGGAAAGCTGAATTAATGCCAATATGTGAATCCAGGTAAAAACCCTTTCTCCTTTGCTCTTGTGCTGTCACGGGCAAGATTTAGTCGGTTTTGGTACTTACCTTGTCACCTGATCGTATCATGCAGATTCATTCTTTTTAAAAATTTATGTCATATGTTCATTCCTTGAGATAAATTTGATTTTCCATTCTAGGGCTTGTTGCTATTGACTGAGCCATCACCTTGAAAGTAGTTGCGCCTTCATTGAAAAAAACGCTCTTTTAAGGAGATTATTATGCCAGTCAATCCTCACATCACATGGTGATAAAAGAAGATAACAGCTTTTGTGGTTTACATGCTTAAATTAGACAGTACTAGCATGGATGTTAGATCCAGAAGACCAGTCCTTGACAAACTTCTAATCTCCAAAATTTTGAAATCAGCCGATCTTGTATGTCAGTCTTTTGTTACATCTATCATTTAATCATGGTTTTTGTTAGGGGTGCAACTTGGGCGGGTTAACCCAGCCCAATCTAAACTCAGTCTAGAAATTTTGAAATTGGGCCTTTAAATTCATAAATCGGGCTCAAATTGGCTCAAAACCCAGTCATGTTCGGGTTAGACTCGAACTCAAATTGGGGAAGAAAAATGAAAGGAAAAAGAAAAGGGCAGAGAGAAAGAGAAAGAGAAAAGAGAGAGGAGAGAGAAGGGAGACAAATATATATATATATATATATATATATATATATATATATATATCAGAATTGCCAGCCTTACTGATAAAAAATAACAAACATTACTCAGATAAACCTTAATGCTTACTCAATTTAGCGTCTCTCTTAATTGGGTTTGAATACGGTTCGTAGGAAAGCTAATTCACTAGCTTACTTGTTGAGTCATTAAGGAAAATGGTCAGCGTTGATGAATTGTAATCATGTGTAATTTTTCTCATCAAAAAAATTTTATTTGTTGCCTTGGAAAAAAAAAAAAAAAAATCACACTTTAAAGGAAAGCCAGATGGTTGGAGGGACAAATTTAGTTAGCTACTAAGCCTAATATCAAGGCTATAAAGTAAAATTTCAATTAATAACATGGAATAAATTCAATGAACATTTATTACTGTGTACTACAATAAAAAGTGCAGTAGTGGAGGAAAATTTCCCTCCAATAAGGACATGGCAGCTGTACACTTGACTAATATTTGTGTCAACTCAACAAACGAGTGTAGATAGTTGAACGAGTAAGAAAAAAGCACAAAATCAGGAATTAATTTTGTGTTAGTATTTTTATGAGTAATGATACATAATCCTAAGTAAGTGATGATATCATGACATCATCTAAATATGACTTTACGAAGATACATTCCACTCATATACAATAATCAAATACATCTTATTATTATTCAATTAAAAAATAAATAAAAATTCTAGCTTTAGGACCTCATTAGATAAGGTGTCAAAAGAAGCAGCAGAAACATCTCTCACTTCCATCTTATATTTCTCACAAGTGATCCCAAAGTTACACGTAGATGTATTTGAATGAGATCCCTCTTAAATCCTATTTTACCCTTCAACATAGGCCTTGCACTTCATAACCGTTTTTCGAACTTGATCTACCTCTGCACCTCCATAACTCTCTCTCCAAATTCACTGGAATATATCTCCAACAAACCCATCCATGAAATTGCTTTCTCTATCTATTCCTTCTTGCAAAAATGCACCAGCCTCAGTTGTCTCAAGAAAGCCCATGCCAAGACCTTTGCTTTTGGTCTCCAACATGACACACATTTACAAACCAAATTGGCCATTTTGTACATTTCATTTAACCGCCTTGATATCACAAGCATTTTATTTGAATGTATGCCAAATCCATGTAGCTACTTTTGGAATATTATGATAAGGGCATATGTCAATGAAGGCCGATTTCGCAGATCATTAGAACTCTACCGAATGATGATGGAAAAAGGTCAAAGACCAGACAAATTTGCTTTTCCTTTTGCACTAAAATCTTGTGCAGGATTATCTGATATGCAGATGGGAAAGCTAATTCACCAGCATTTAGTGTGTTGTGGGTGTAGTAATGACCTTTTCGTTAATGCTGCTTTGGTTGATATGTATGCAAAATGTGGTGACATAGAAGCTGCCCGGCTTGTGTTCGATAAAATGGCAGTAAGAGATTTGGTTTCTTGGACATCAATGATATCGGGGTATGCTCACAATGGTTATAGTACAGAGACGTTGGAGTTCTTTGATCTCATGCGTGGTTCGGGAGTAAAACCAAATAGGGTAAGTATTCTGAGTGTTCTTTTAGCATGTAGTAATCTAGGAGCTCTGAGGAAAGGACAATGGTTGCATAATTATGTAATTAAAACCGGTTTTGAGTCCGATATCTTGGTTGCAACTTCTATTATGGATATGTATGCAAAGTGTGGGAATTTGGGTTTGGCGCGTACTTTATTTGATGAAACACGAGGAAAAGATGTTGTTTGCTGGAGTGCGATGATTGCAAGCTATGGAATTCATGGTCATGGAAGGCAGGCAATTGATCTTTTTAATCAAATGGTGAAAAATGGGGTAAGGCCAAATCATATAACATTCACTTGTATTCTCTCAGCTTGCAGCCATTCGAGGTTATTAGAAGAAGGCAAGAGGTATTTTCACTTGATGAGAGAGGAATTTGGAGTTGCACCAAAACTAAGTAACTATACATGTATGGTGGATCTTCTTGGCCGCGCAGGACAACTTTCAGAAGCACAAGAACTCATAGAAACTATGCCAGTGGAACCCGATGCTAGTATTTGGGGATCTTTGCTCGGTGCTTGCCGAATTTATGGGAATCTAGATTTAGCAGAGAGGGTTGCAGATCGCATTTTTCAGCTGGATCCCTTTCATGCTGGTTATCATGTTCTACTTTCTAACATCTATGCTGCTAAATCTAGATGGAATGAAGTCGAGAAGATCAGGAAGATGATGGCTCAGCGAGGCTCCAATAAAGTTCAGGGATTTAGTTTGATAGAGTTTGATAATCTGGTTCATAAATTTGGAGTAGGAGACAGGTCAAATCCTCAGTCAGAGAAGATCTACTCTCTTCTTGACGAGTTGGCAGCTCCAATGAGACGCTTGGGTTATGTCCCCTTGACAGACTTTGTGCTTCATGATATTGAAGATGAAGCAAAAGAAGTGGCACTTGCCTACCACAGTGAGAGGTTGGCCATTGCATTCGGAATCATCAATACTAGTCCTGGGACTACTCTTCGAATCACAAAGAATCTAAGGATTTGTGGTGACTGTCACAATGCCATTAAGTTCATCTCAAAGATTGTGAATCGAGTCATCACTGTAAGAGATATGCATCGCTTTCACCATTTTGAGGATGGAGGTTGTTCTTGTGGAGACTACTGGTAAGATATCAGTATATTTTAGTTGTGACTACATACATAGATGATAGGGTTCTGTTGACAGCTTCTGTTACCTTCTTTTTCAATAGAAGATGTAACACTCAAATCTCAGCTCGAAGATTGAATCGTGATAGTGATTGAGGATACCACATTCTTACTTTAAAGATAAAAGTAGGGGAAGCCAAAGGAATTCAGATGACATGTTACCAAAGCTACTCAACTTGGAAAGTAAAAAATCGAACTTAAAAAATTAGAGTTATCCAAGGATGGTCTTCATAATCGACAGATTTCAAATTGTAATAATATTTGCCCACTTATGAATGAGAAGGATTGATTAGCAGGCTTCTGGATTTTCTTGTGAATCCAAGTTGAACTAATTATATACTATGTATGCTTGTTATTTAGATTAGAAATGGTAAAACACTTTTTTCTTTGTTTGTCTGAACCAAGTTGAATTCATGGCACGCATTGTGCATTTAGTTGTGTTTACAAATTTACATAAATAGTGTGATAATTGGAATGGAGATTTTTTGAATATTCTGTATAAAAAAACAAAAATGAAAAATATGAATGCGGATATGTTCGAATATGATATTTTTAAAAATATATATATATGTATGTTAGTCATTAGAAGTTGGACGATACATATACTATTTTTCCCTTATACTAGAAATTATAAGGAAGTAAAAAGGGTCGTAGAGAGATGAAAATTCTACCAACATTGAACAGAGTGTATAAATTAGTAGATTGGAAAAGATTCCAAAAGAGTAGAATTTGTTAATATGTATATATTTAGGTGACTTGTAAGTGATACTTTAACCCTGTAATGCATCCTAATCCGGGGGAGATGTTCTATATATAAATAAGGAATCACAGGGGAGATGTTCTATATATAAATAAGGAATCACATTTGTAACAATGAGCTACAAACTTTTTTTGAGAGTGAGAGGCTGCAGGGGTGAGTGTGTAAAACCAGTTCAAAGCTTAAGAAAAAATAAAAATGTAGGGATTTAGAAAGTTTATGAGCTGTAGTTGTGACCCCAATCATTTGAGTATTGAATTTATGAAGGCAGTTGCGACTTGATATCAAGATTTTTGCTCAAGATAGGCTGCGCTATATAACATATTCACCAATTCAGTCATCCTTATATAATAGGTAACAGAGGAGTTGGCTACTAGTTTTAGACCACGAGGTAACTGCAACAAAAGTTATGTTAATCTGCAAATCTAAAGCAAATTTATGTGGGTACGTAGTTATTTACGCATGTATTTGTTGGAAGATTAATCTAGACTTGTCTAGATTCATCTAAGAAGACCAAGTGATATTTGGGAAGGTGCAAAGAATCTCATAATAATTGCTAGTACATGGAACATTTTGGTGTATATGAAATATTTAGGTTCATTGTGTGGTTCATTACATGTATTAAATTCATGTACTAGAAGTATCCATTAAGTAGTATAAATAGGTGAGTTAAGTAAGTGTATTTCAACACAACAAACAATTGAGCAATACAAGATAAAGAATTCAGCTTTATAGATGTGAGTGTTTCTGAATTGTGTGTTTACTAATTCAGTTGAATATAAGTGAGTGTATCCCATTTGTATTCACTAGCCCACCAACTCCAACAAAGTGGTATCAGAGCCTTGTTACAAGATCGGCAAAGAAAAATGGCGTCTAACAACATGTTGCAGCCCCAACTTCCCAAGTTTAGTGGGAAGAATTACAATCAGTAGAGTATACAAATAAAAGTTTTGTATGGATTCCAAGATTTATGGGAATTGTTGAAAACTATTTTGAAGAACCAGCGAATCAAGAGGAGCTGAGTCAAGCACAACTCAATGAGTTGAAGGAGAATCAAAAAAAGGACAGGAAGGCATTGTTCCTCATTTATCAAGCAGTTGATGAAGTAATTTTTGAAAAAATCTCGACAACCATTTTAGCAAAGCAAGTGTGGGATATGTTACAGGCTACTTATAAGGGTGAAGATAAAGTTAAAGTGGTGAGATTGCAAGCTCTTCGAACTGAATTCGATACGATTAAGATGAAAGATTCTAAAAGTGTAGAATAATACTTTAATCGTATTCTTTCGATCACTAACCAATTGAAGGTGAATGGAGAAAATATTCAAGATCAAAGAATTGTTCAAAAGATCCTCTGAAGTATGCCTAGAAAATTCGAACACATCGTTGTAGCAATTGAAGAGTCAAAAGATCTGTCGGCTTTGTCAGTAAATAGCTTGATGGGATCACTTCAATCTCATGAGCTTCGATTAAAGAATTTTGATTCAACGCCTCTAGAACAAGCATTTCATGCTCAAACTTCTTTTAGAGAAGGTTGGAGAGGAACAAGAAGTGATCGAGGTGGCCGAGAAAGAGGAAGAAATAGTGAAAAAAAAAACTTTTGAGTCAAAGGAAAATGCTAATTTTCCTCCTAATAGAGGAAAAGGAATGAATAAAGGTCAAGGCCGAGGTCGAAGCAGAGGACAAAGTAGAGGTTGCGGTGACTCATATCATCTCCAGTGTTTCAATTGTGGAAAACTGAGGCATTTTCAAGCAGATTGCTGGTTTAAAAAGAATGATAATGAAGCAAACAACAGTTCGACATTCATGCACAAGGAGGAAGAAAAGGAAGAAGGAGTTTTCATGTTGGCTTGCAATACACAAGAAGAAGTTTCAAAAAATATATGATATATCGACAGTGGTTGTAGCAATCACGTTACTGGAGATAAAAATGCCTTTGTAAATTTGGATGAATCTATCCAAAGTGAAGTCAAAACTGGTGATAATAAAAGGCATTTTGTCAGAGAAAAATGCGACATTCTTGTCAAAAGCAAGAAGGGAGTGCAGAAGATTACTGATGTATATTATGCTCCAGGTCTTAAATACAATCTTTTGAGTGTTGAACAGATTCTGCAAAGGGGAAATGACGTACGCTTCAACAATTATGTTTGTGTGGTTAAAGACAAAAATGGTGGGCTGATTACAAAGGTACAAATGACACAAAATAGAATGTTTCCATTGAAGCTTATATATGAGAAGATGGTCAGTTTTAGTGCCATGATAAATGAAGAATCGTAGCTATGGCATCACAGATATGGGCATGTAAGTTTCAACTCATTATCCTACATGTTTCAAAAGAACATGGTGAAAGGTTTGCCAAGAATCAACAGAGAAGGAGGAGTTTGTGAAGCCTGCATTTTAGAAAAGCATCATCGAGAGCCTTTTCCTATTGGAAAGGCGTGGAGAGCTTCAAAGCCACTTAAGTTGGTACATACAGATTTATGTGGACCAATGCGAACCATGTCAATGGGAGGTAATGGTTACTTTCTAACATTTATAGATGATTATAGTAGGAAGACATGGATTTATTTGCTGAAAGAAAAGAGTGAAGCATTTGAAAGATTTAAAGCATTCAAAGCCCTTGTTGAAAATGACAGTGGCTACAAGATCAAAACCATACGATCTAATCGAGGTGGTGAGTACATCAGTTATAAGAAATTTTTTATCAAGCATGGTATTTGACATCAGAAAACTGTTCGAGAGACTCCACAACAAAATGGAGTTGCCGAAAGGAAAAATAGAACCATCATGGAGTTGGCTCGAAGTATGTTGACAGCAAAGGGGATGCCAAAGATTTTTTGGGGTGAAACAGTATCATGTATGGTATATTTACTAAATCGAGGTACAACAAAAGTTGTTCAAGGAATGACTCCTTATGAAGCTTGGAGCGGTTTAAAGCCAAGTGTTAATCATCTAAGAATTTTTGGCAGTATTGCTTACTCCCATATTCCAAATGAGAAGGGAGGTAAATTAGATGATAAATCTGAAAGTGTGTTTTTGTTGGCTACAGTGAAAGCTCGAAGGTATATAAGTTGTACAATCTTACCTTAAAAAAGATAATCATCAGCCGAGATATAAAGTTTAATGAAAAAGAAGAATGAAAATGGGAAAACACCATTCAAGAAAATAATTCAACTGTTGTGGATATGGAAAGTAAAGAAGAAGATCAAGATGTTCAGCATGTTGAAAACACACCAGATTCTCCAAGTTCGAGTTCATCATCATCAAGTGATGAAGAATCTCCTCCTCCAAAAGCAAGAAGCATCCAGCAAATTTATAAAGCAGCAAGAAGAATTGATGGGGATGACTTGATAAATTTTGTGATGTTTGCTGATGTAATAAATTTTGAAGAAGCCGCAAAAGATGAGAAATGGAAGAAAGTTATGGACCAAGAAATTGATGCAATTAAAAAGAACAAGACATGGGAATTGACCGAGCTTCCAAAAGCCAAGAAACCACTTGGTGTGAAGTGGGTTTACAAAATAAAGCTAAATGAGAAGGGAGAAGTAGACAAGTACAAGGCAAAACTTGTTGTGAAAGGCTACAAACAAAAGCATGGCATCGATTATGAACAGTGTTGGTTCGAGTGCGATTCTTTGTTGGTGGTCCAGGCCGTTGATAGCAATGATTGTGGGCCGGTTGAGCTTTATTCCATCTCGTTTGATATTCGCATGGCACTTCGGCGATTCTCTTATTCTCGACTTAGCCATATACTTAGGCATGGTAATGAGGTCACCCATGCTCTTGCCAAGTTGTCCCGTTAGCACATTCTCGAGGATACTGCATTAATTTTTGTTCCTGCTGATATTCTTGTTATTGCAGCCAAAGATTGTGTTTTTGAATAGGCTTTTGTAGTGGTGGTTTTCCTTCTATAGATGGCACATTTTCTTTGGATTGTCAAGACTGCTGATCTTGACTATAAGAGGTGTTAGTTTCCGGATGGTTTTGTGCATGTTGGTGTTTATTGTATTTTGGTCCTATGCCTATGATCGATGTTCTTATATGTAGATGCCATATGGCAGTTGGCTTGTTTCTTGCCAGGGTTTTAAAAAAAAAAAAAAAAGACGTTTCAAATCTTTATTGGATAAATTTTTTTTTTAATGTGTTTTTACTCATAATAAAAAAAATCTTTATTAGAAACGCATTTAGAATCATTATGTTCGACCCTAAACATGGTTGATTACTCACCATTTGTTCTGTTACTCACAAATCAAGACCTAAATCAAGACCCAAATCGTTTTGTTCCTCACAAATCCGTGTAGCACCCAAAATACCACCGACCATAGAAACCCATTTCCCTTCTCTTTTCTTCGACGATTCCTTCGAATCAAGACCCAAAACAGGCCTTTATGTTGCATCTCTCGCCTTTGTCTCGATATCAACATCAGATGTGATTTTAGGTGGTGGTGATGGTGGTGGGTGGTTGGTTGAAGTGGCAGAGGGCTGCTGTGGTGGTAATGGTATATATCATGGTGAAATACGGTAGTTTTGGTAAAGTAAAAGTGTAAAACACAAAGATTGAGTAGACTCACTCTCGGAAGAATTCTATGCCAGTTGAAAAAGGGTGGAAGCAAGTAAAAACCGTAAAATCCAAATCAAACCCTC